CTCCTTTTAAGGAGTAGCTCTTCTTTTGAGGCCTTGTGGTTGCTAGTGAGGCCGCCTCGCAGCTGTCGTGCTGGAGAATAGTTGGGTTTGTGGGCTTACTTCCACTGAAAAGCTTGCAGCAAGATTCGCCTGGAAGCCTTTTTATGTTTGTGGAAGTTGAGGCTGCTGTGGGGAGAGGTGCCAAGGTAGTAACTGTGGGGTTTCACACATTGCTTTACGTGTAAGAATAAACTCGTGGCAATGGTGAGGACTTCGGGGGGGGAAAGGACTGGTTTCACTGGCCTCCTCTGGCCCTGAGGAGAGTCAGTAGGCCATGCCAGATGACACTGGGCTTTTTGGTTGAGAGGAAGGGGGAGATTTTGGTGATGCTGGGTATTGACTGGGCCAGTAGCAGTTAGTGCTGATAGTATTTGAATGTGTGCATAGCAAGGGGGGCTTCAACTGCTTGAAGCTAGGCTCCAGTGTTGCCTGTTGTAGGACCCAGGCTCATTTTCAGCTGAAGCTGCATTTGTCTTGCCCTTTAATGCCAGTTTGTGTCAACAGGTGGCTTAGGTGAGAATTACAGGAGCATGTGTTTATACTTGTAGTTGGGAAGCAAAATTGATTAATTTCACTATTCATAGTGGCTGTAAATATGCCTGGCATAAAAAATGGTAGTTTGCTGTGGTATTAAATCCTACATTTTTCAAAGCCAGCCCACGTTCAGTTAAGTAATTCCTATCATACTTTTCTTCAGGGACATGTACTAAAGTAATACGGATGCAAAGGAATAGACTTACCGGATGCAATGCGGTACATCTGTAGTAGAACTAGAGAACATAGACATTTCTAGATCTTCCTGGCCCTAGAATTATAAATTGTAGTCTGACATGATGCTGTGTAATGGTGAAACTTTGCCAGGAGGTTGTTAGGGGCTCATTCACTGTGTCGTGCAGTGTAAGTGGGAAGCTGGAGAGGACAGAGCTGTGCCACCCGTAATCGTAAAATACAATGGGCTTCCTCTATGCTGTGTTAAGGTATGTGCTGGAAGCCAGACCTCACAGTTTTTATGTATGTCTGTAAGCATGGTGGGTAGCTTTTATATTTTAATGGTAACTGTCGTGAGAGGGAGAGGCAAGATTTTCTTATAGCATTAATAGGATTTCTAATTTTGCTTTGGATGGTAACTTCTGCAAATGAGCTGCGAGACCTAAGATCTCTCTCACTGACTAGCTCAGTGAAGGGCTCACATGCGGGGGGAAAAAACCCACAAACTTGCAAGGTGTGTGCCAGGACTTGAATGCTGCTGTTCTCCCTTGCTGAGAACACGGGAGGCCGTAGGTTGGATCCCCAGAGGTGAAGGAAAGGAACTGAACTCTTTGGTGGGACTTGTGCTGAGGTTCGTGATGCTTTGTGCTTTACAGTACTAGTAGCTGTTGCGCTAGATCTACTGCAAAGCTCCAGTGTATACTGTTGCAAAGACCTCTTTTGACCATCTTTATTCTTGGCCATGCATTAACAATCTTCTCTTTTGCTTTCACTTGATAGGAATAATGTTTCCAACATGTCTGGGCAGTCACTGCTTTGTGAAAGAATTGCTGTTGCCGAAGAATTGATCAAGAGAGCAGAAGCCCTTTCCAAGTCCCAGAAAAGGAGAATAGAAGGTGGGGCAAAACTATGTGGCAAACTGAAGGCTGAGCTAAACTTCTTGCACAAGGTGAAGGCAGGAAAGGTGGCCATTAAAGAATCCCATCTGCAGAGTACAAACCTTACCCATCTCCAAGCCATTATCCAGTCAGCAGAGAACCTGGAGGATGTTGTCAGTGTCCTCCACGTCTTTGCTTATGAGGATAGGTTTGGAGACAAACAGACACTGGTGGTAGATGTTGTTGCAAATGGAGGTCACACATGGGTGAAGGCCATCGGTCGGAAGGCTGAGGCTCTCCATAACATCTGGCTGGGGAGAGGCCAATATGGTGATAAAAGCATCATTGAGCAGGCAGAGGACTTCCTGCAAGCAAGCCATCAGCAGCCAGTGGAGTACAGCAATCCCCATATAATCTTTGCGTTCTACAACAGCGTGTCCAGTCCTATGGCAGAGAGACTCAAGGAGATGGGAATATCCGTGCGAGGAGACATTGTTGCTGTGAACTCACCGGTGGAGCCACTTACAGAAAACAAGCACCTTAGCTCCAGTGAATCGGATGAAGAAGGTCCTGAGTTCCTACAGGTGACCAGGGTAGACCGGGAGAATTTAGTGGCCAGCATTGCTTTTCCTACCCAGATCAAAGTAAATGTGTGCAATAGAGTTAACTTGGACATCACTACTTTAATAACCTATGTCTCTGCTCTGAGCTACGGTGGCTGCTACTTCGTCTTCAAAGAAAAAGTGCTAACGGAGCAAGCAGCTCAAGAAAGGAGGGAGAGAGTCCTGCCTCAGCTGGAGGAGTTCATGGAGGGGAAAGAGCTCTTTGCCTGTGAATCTGCTGTCAGAGATTTTCAGTCCATCTTGGAAACGCTGGGAGGACCTGGGGAGAAAGAGCGAGCTGCCTTGCTTGTTAAAAGAATTAACGTGGTGCCAGATCAACCGTCTGACCGTGCCTTAGGACTAGTGGCTAGTTCAAAAATCAACAGCCGTTCTCTAACCATTTTTGGGACAGGAGACACTTTAAAAGCCATCACCATGACCGCAAATAGCGGTTTTGTGAGGGCAGCAGCTAACCAAGGTGTCAGGTTCAGTGTTTTTGTCCATCAGCCACGAGCATTGACAGAAAGCAAAGAATCTGTTGCCACACCTTTACCAAAGAGCTTCCTACCTGATAATGGACTGTAAGCCTTTAAATGAGTTAGTCATTGAAAATATTGCAGGTACTGCAGTGGAGGCATTTGGAGAAACGGAAGAATCATAACAGTAGATTTTTGGGTGTACATCAGTGAAAACAGTAACTGTAGCAATGGAAGGGGCTCCTCAAGGAATTTGCAATATCTTTACTCAGTCCTTGGGTGGTTTTTGTTCAGCTGGACATTAATTTATTCATTAAGGTAATAAGATTTCAGTGAAAATTGTTAACTGGCTTACAGTGTATTAATTGTATCCATCCCTATTAAAAAGTTCAGTTAAAGCACAGTTGCCTTTGTGCCCTTGTCATTTTTGTCCTCTTCAGAGAGATTAATTTCAGCACCTTAGATGGACTTCAGACTTGACTTCTGTGGAACTTAAATTTTTCTTTCCCCCATCCAATTCAATGGAATTCTTTGTTGACCCAGAGGTACCTTGTGTAGAGACCCGTGTGTATACTGTTCCATGAAGACATGACTAGTCTAGTAGCTGTGAATAGAAACCCACTTAAGCCTTCCTTCTTTTACAGAAGGGAACCTCTGTAAGTGTACTGTGTTAGGCTGAATTGGGCAACAGCATTAAAATTCTCAGAAAAATCAATTGAAATTGGAGTTTGTTGGTACTAGTATGTTGTGACTCTTGGGCCAAACTGGACAGCCAGTGGTAGCAGATCAAGGAAGCAAATCTGCTTCCCTTTTCTCTTAGCCTTTGCCCAAGTGCAAAGTCTTGCTGGGTGCAAAACCCAGCTTGAGGCTTCAGATAACAGAATCCTCTTAAACAGAACCTGCACCCACGTAGGTTTTTTATAATAGCAAGCTGTGTGCTGAGGACTCGTGGTGAACTTGAATTTGGCTCTATTGCTTGTGGATTACCTGAAACAAAACCTCACCGAGGTCCTTTAGTGTTGGTGTGGAGGAGGAGGAGGTTTGTGGGGTATCTTGTTAATTTCTAGTTTGCCTTCGAGTAGTTGCCCTCCCTTCCAGGGAGAAGCTTTTTCACTGGTGGTGTAATTGCTGATTTTATTCAAAGTAAACAACCTTTTTTTTTTTTTTTTTTTTTTTCTCAGGAGAGAGTTGCTGTTTTAGAAGTGTTTCTGAAGTTTTTTCTGTATGCTGTAATGACAGCACTTGCTGTTTGCTATTAGTTTGCATCAGGTTCCTAGTGGAAAATATTGAGATGCCAGAGTGAACCTCTTGGCCCTGAGCTATGCATTTTATCAGGTCAGTGAAAGAGATAGCCACTGAATATTTTATAAGCTGTTGTTCAGCAAGATAGCACTGTTTCGCAGCTTATAGTTCAGGAAAAGAACATTCCCTTGTCTCTTGCCACTCCACTCTAAATTTCTTCCTGTGGTTCAAAGTAGTTGCAGCGCTGCCCTTAGCCATAGCCTACCTATTTCTTCCTGTCTCCAGTAGCCTGGTATATTCCAGCGCTGATGTAAAGATACTGACATGCCAGCAAAAGCACTCTCCATGCCTCTGCCAGCTGAATAAGCTTAACTCCAAGGAGCAAAAGCATACTTTTTTGTCAGTACGACTCCTGCTCTGCTCTGTTCTTACAATGCCTGTAGAGTAACCTGTTAGGAGTTGTTCTAACAAAACATCTAGCTTGTTCCTACAGTTTTTTTTGTTTTTTTTTTTCTCAGGAGAGAGTTGCTGTTTTAGAAGTGTTTCTGAAGTTTTTTCTGTATGCTGTAATGACAGCACTTGCTGTTTGCTATTAGTTTGCATCAGGTTCCTAGTGGAAAATATTGAGATGCCAGAGTGAACCTCTTGGCCCTGAGCTATGCATTTTATCAGGTCAGTGAAAGAGATAGCCACTGAATATTTTATAAGCTGTTGTTCAGCAAGAGTTGCTGTTTTAGAAGTGTTTCTGAAGTTTTTTCTGTATGCTGTAATGACAGCACTTGCTGTTTGCTATTAGTTTGCATCAGGTTCCTAGTGGAAAATATTGAGATGCCAGAGTGAACCTCTTGGCCCTGAGCTATGCATTTTATCAGGTCAGTGAAAGAGATAGCCACTGAATATTTTATAAGCTGTTGTTCAGCAAGATAGCACTGTTTCGCAGCTTATAGTTCAGGAAAAGAACATTCCCTTGTCTCTTGCCACTCCACTCTAAATTTCTTCCTGTGGTTCAAAGTAGTTGCAGCGCTGCCCTTAGCCATAGCCTACCTATTTCTTCCTGTCTCCAGTAGCCTGGTATATTCCAGCGCTGATGTAAAGATACTGACATGCCAGCAAAAGCACTCTCCATGCCTCTGCCAGCTGAATAAGCTTAACTCCAAGGAGCAAAAGCATACTTTTTTGTCAGTACGACTCCTGCTCTGCTCTGTTCTTACAATGCCTGTAGAGTAACCTGTTAGGAGTTGTTCTAACAAAACATCTAGCTTGTTCCTACAGTCTAACACCATGTAACAAAATTTCATGGCAGGATACACCCCCCACGATAGCCATTCATTCTTCTGAAAGTTCTTCTGAAGGCAGGGGAGAACCAACCCAATGAAACGATATAAATAACGTGTAGGCTGTGCTGCAGAAATGCAAGTCTGCCTTGGGAGTTAACAGCACAAGCTTCATCATACAGGAGCATAGGGAGATAGTGCTTTATCATGGCACGATGGATTTAGCGGAGCACAGTCACAGATGTTTGTGAAATGTTACAGTGCTATAAACAGCTGGAAGGAAAGGTGCCTTTCCTTCCTGCCATGAGAACTCTACTCTGGACACCTGTATGATGTCTTTCCTCTGCAGTGGGTGTGGGGGTAGGGGTGGGAGAGGCTGTCTGTGGAGAATAAGGAAGAACAGTGTGTCTCAAAACTGCGTTTCTGTTTGGTATTGGAAGCCCTGAAAGAAGGTACAAGAAACCTGCTAGTGAATAATTTATGAACAACCAACCTGGGAGAGAGGGGTTGGTTTTGTTTGCAACTCAGAGCTTTAAAAGCTGAGATCCCAACTGACAGTTTACTATTTATCACTGATGAATCTCTCTTACAATCTTACAGGATATACTTAAAGCTAAGTGTGTGATTAACAGTGTTACTTATGCATGGTAATTCATTATGGCCTTTTAAGAACTAATCCTTTGTATTTAAGTTACTTTTAATTTGCTTACAGCCTTTCTACCGTGATGAGAGTTTTGAATGAGTAGATGGGAGAGAGCTGCTCCATTCCACTTCTTGCTGTGACTCTAAGAAGTGGGTTTCAATCATTTTCCTTGCTGTATCCTATTCGGGACTCTTGAATATCCTGTTGGGCACCCCCTAAAGAGGTTTCTCCAAACCACAGATGAGAGGGCAATGATCTGCATTCTTACGTGGTAGGTGACCCAGAGAGAGTAGTGAAAAGCAAGTAACCACTGAGTAACCCCTATTGCCTAGATGAGAAGTGGGTGAGCTCTGCTGCATTTCTCCAGTCCTGCTGCTGCAGAGCTAGCTGACTTGTTTTGTATGAACTTTAAATGCAACTCCGTTACAATCCTCTGTATCTGGAGCCATCGTGTGGTGACTTTCTTCATTACCGGTCATTGTCACCCAACACGGTATTTGTTACCGAATCACTTCTCTTCCTGTTACCAATTCCTGCCAATCATATAAGCAATGTTTTAGGAATACAAAACTCTAGAAATTATCTGTGTGCGACTTCAGGAGGGTTTTGATTGTTATTTTGTGTCTCCCTGTTGCACGGTGCAATAAAAAGCTCAGCATGTGGGTGTTCTGTTGGTTTGGTTTGGTTTGGGGTTTTTTTAAAAGCTATTTTTACCTTCAGTGATTTTCTGGCTTATTTGTCAAACAGAAGTGCAATCCTGGAAGACTGTAAGAATTTCTTTATAAGATGAAACCTGAAACTGAATCCTGGCTTGGAACCAAAATGTGCTTTGATTGTAATATTTGGTGGCTTTTCTATTGCCTTCCAAGATATTGGCGATCTGCATGTATAAAGCAGTGTTCCGGTTTAGTGCATTTAGATAGCTTCTACTTAATTTTACAAATGGGGGATTAGATCTTGGACTTCCCTTATTTATGACTTTACAAATGAGTAATTGGAAGATACCAAACAATGTTTAAAATTAAGTTGAAAAAATGAAAATCCAAGACTGCTTATCCTTTCTTCCAGTATCACACAACTGCTTTGTTTACACTACACCAGGCACTTGAGGATGCAGAGGCATCTCGCTTGCTGCAATGGATTTTGTTTGGTTATTTCTTTCATGAAATTTTTCAGCATTAAGTTCCTTGGCAACTGTTTTGGAGAACCTTGTTCTTCTGGCACTTTTAATTTATTTTAGATTATCTCTGTATGGTTCCATAGTCTCTGAGGAGAGCCAGCATCTCTGTTCTGTGCAGCACAGCCTGCTCTCTTTGCGCCACCAAGAATACCAAACAAGGAATGCTGCGACTGATGCCAGGCAGTAGAAAGTGCTTGAGTATTCTATGAGAAATAAATAGGTAAGTTAAGTTCATACATTCATGCTTCTAATTTGTCTTCCACAATTTTGTCAAAAGCAAACTTATTTTTGGACACAGCTGTGTGTTTTCTTTACTTACTGTTGTTCTGGCTGACAAAATTTGCAGATAAATTACTTGTTTGTCATTGTACCTGCAAGCCATGAAAACACTCCAAGGTGGTTTTGCGTGTTGCAGCCACAGCTGTGTAAAAGTGTTAATTCTTTGGTAGGTTAATGGACTTAATAGTGGTTTGTGTTTCAAACTGTCTCCCTGCTCTGACGATGCCTTCAGCAGACTTAGAGCAGTCAGCTGAAGTCTTCTGGAGCCTGTCTGGAAATACTTCCAGAACCCTGTTCCTAGCTCCTGAAAACTGAATGTAGGCTTAGTTGCAACAGTAATAAAACAAGAAAATGCAAGCATCAGTTATTTGACATAAGTTTGAGAAGAGACCTAGAAATAAAAGCCCTAAAATTTTTTTTGTAAAGTGGAACAAGGAAAGGATTTACAATAAGGACAAAGCATGTAGTTGCAATGACATTCTTTATTTCAGGTTATTATGCAAGCAAAACAGCACAGATCACCTGTTATCTAATTAACTTGGTAGGGTAAGCAAGAATTAGATGAGGTTCTTGAACTGAAGGCTATGGTTACAGTTTTCCTGGAAGCTGTAGTTTTAGGAACTGCTCCACCACCCAGCTTGCTGCAGGCACTGCGTGTGTGTTCTTTTGTGGTGAAATCAACTCTGTAGGTACGCGTGGCCGTTGCTTTTCCATCAAGATTTAATGTTGCAGTTTATTCTAGAGTAAAAACAAAGAGAGTGAATGTGAAACTGCTACACTGAGTGACAGAACTGCTTGGA